CTCTTTGGGGGACACTTATAACTTTGAACTCACACCCTATATGTTTAGATCCAAGTTACGGCCCACAACATTTTCATATATAATACTGCATTAAATTGTGATGTCGGATATATTGCAATTTCGTGCCATCAAATACACGTCACGAAGAGCAAGCAAGCGTGGAGCGTATGAATTTATAATAAATTTATTTTTTAGCAGCTTCTGCAGATCACAGAACCTGATAAAATAACTACATAATATATAAATAATACTATATATAATAATTTGGATTCTTGCACTTCACTTGGTGGAATTAGTATTAGAATGTTAGGGTTTGTAATCCAAGTGAGTATATATATATATATACATTTTAAGACCTAACCAGGAACGACTGCGAAAAATGCAGCACAAGGTCCTCTGGTAGGAATTGAACCTACGCGGCCCTGGTTAGGTCTTAAAATGTATATATATATATATATATATATATATATATATATATATATATATATATATATATATATATATATATATATATATATATATATATATATATACTCATTAGGTCTTAAAATGTATATATATACTCACTTGGATTACAAACCCTAACATTCTAATATATATATAATAACACTGTATCGCAGCATGCATATTACAGCAGTTTATTAATGCATCAAATACATCTTATGAAGCAAGCAAGCGTCGCAAATAAATTTAATGAAGTTTTAGCAGGTTCTGAGTAGATCATCTTAATTCACATCCTATATATATACTATATGCAAATACATATATTAGTATACAAATAATACATAATATTAGTACATAGTTCCATTTCATTCAGTTAATATCAACATTTCGACTAATATTTAGTCATCTTCATGCAGAATACTTAAAAAGTATTAGTCGAAACGTTGATAAGAAATGAAAAATAAATTGTTTGGAGTGTAAATTTTATCAGTTAATTTATCAAAATACTTATAGTGGTTACCGAAATTATAAAACTACAGTACATTACACCATATTCCATTAATATGTCATCATGTATGTAGCTATATATGAACAACAATGCTTAAATGTATTTATCACTGATATAAACAGCAAAACAAGATGATTTTTACATGGGTGGGCACAGTATACAATATATCATCGATTTCGTGCTCTAAAATGCGGGTATGAAACAGCAGGAGGCAACAAGCATTCATTTTAACAATTAACCTGCCACCTACGACCGAAAAATTACAATTGCAAAACCTTGAGATTGTCTAGGTCGCCCCCTGATATAAAATATTTTCAGTGCCTGAACAATAAACCTATAATAGGTTCCCTACGGCTCGTTCACGTTGGTTTTCGCTTAGTGACAAAACAATTTTGATAACATTGAAGTGGGCTGTAAGTGGACTTGCGGCATACAATTGGGAACAGTTATTGTAAGTTGGTCAAAGCAATGATTGATATATTGCCTATTTGGATCAAATCCGATGTTTGAGTGTTAAGCAAGAGTGTTTTGCATAAATTGAGCTGAAAAAGGAAGGAGAGTTAATTTAAATATCATATGTGATCTACACCGCGGATAGCAAACATAATTGAAACAGCCGGTTAACAATGTAGCATAACATTCTAGCATTTGCCAGAAGCTAGGCTCAGAAGAACGTGTAACTAAACCATGGACGACCAATTAACTGGACATGGATTTGATTTACTGGCAATTAGAACATAAGAAAACCAAATTTGCGACATACGTGTCTTAATAATGGTTCACAGTTACCAAGGGGTGATATTTGTGCTCCTATTGTTAATTTTTGTAACAAATCTCAAAGGTAAGTTTTTAATGATTTTTAAACAGAGTGTAGTTAATGTTTTGTTTCCTAAATAGACTACTTTAAAAGAATCTGTTCTCGTTAGAGTATAATACGACCGGATGTTTATAAATTATACCTCACTGAACACATTGTTTCACTCAACTTAGAAGGCCACTATCAAAAGCAATCTCTTTGCATACAAGGGCAAGAAAAAGCTCAGAGATCCTAACCATTCCTATAAAAGTACAGTTTCAACTTTGTAGATGCCGAAAAGGAAACAGACTATACTTGATTAAACATACAAGAAATTGCACTCAAGTATGTTATGTAAGGCCATTATCAAAAACAATGTCTTTGTTACAAGCGAATAAAATAAAACTCAGATATCCCAAGGAGTATAAAAAATAGAGCAAGGTCGCAATTGTTAAGAAGGTGTGAATGAAAGGAAATAGATTCTACTTGACTAAACCAACAAGAATTTGTAGCCAAATTTGTGCCCGTTAGCATACAGTGACAATGTCATTATTACAAGAACAAAAGAAAACTCAGATATTCCGACGATATAAGAAAATTAAATAGAGCAAAGTTCCAACTGTTTAATAAAAAGGAAATAGATTCTACTTGACTCAACAACCAACAAGAATCCGTGTACTCAATTTTGTGCCCCTTTAGTAGTGGCAATGTCATTATTACAAGAACAAAAGAAAACTCAGATATTCCGACGATATAAGAAAATTAAATAGAGCAAAGTTCCAACTGTTTAATGAAAAGGAAATAGATTCTACTTGACTCAACAACCAACAAGAATCCGTGTACTCAATTTTGTGCCCCGTTAGTAGTGGCAATGTCATTATTACAAGAACAAAAGAAAACTCAGATATTCCGACGATATAAAAAATAGAGCAATGACGTTGCAAAAAAGCTTTGTAGCCAAATTTTTGCCCCATTATTAGTGACAATGTCTTTATATATTTATACTGATATAAAAAAAATTTATATTCTATACAACCAAATATTCATGTCTTAGAAATTATGTCTCGATCGTGGGGGGTTGAGTGTAAGTAATATTCTTCAATAAGCTGCCGTTTGTGTTTATAATATAATTTGTGTTTGAACCACCACAAAAAGACTTGTAACACTTCGGCAAACGTCTTTCGCTCAAAACGTGAACGTGTACTTAATTTTTTAAGGTAGTTCTGACACAAAGCACGGCACGCAGCTTATTGTTTAAAAAAATCACTCTCTTCCTGTTTATCGCGCGCATAAGTGTTTGCCAAAGATCGGGTGTCTATTAGTCCAATATTGAAGATATTGATATTGCAGTTTGACTGTCTCGAGAACTGGATCAATAAAGAAAAAAATTACTAGACCCCCAGGAAGAAGAGTTTAGAAGTGATAAAGATATCCGGTATAAATAAAGTTAGTTTAGCTTATGTTACCTCCTGCAATTCCGTTGTCTTAATATAGGCTGGCCCTTATCGAATATCTAAGGAGAACAACTTAGAACTGACAGAGCTATCATGCAGTATAAAGTCATCCGCCACATGTGCGCCACTATCCGCGACCACCAGTGCATATCCGCAACCCGCATTTTTATAATCGTAAAAACATTGTGTGAAGTCATGATCAACTGGCATGACCAAAGGGCCGAATGTAGTATTGCACGATCATTAAACGTAATTGGTATTAATGACTCCAGAATGATTAAGGATCCCGCATGTCGTATATTGCATGCAATATTTAAAAAAATGTTCTATCTCAAGAACTGGATCGATAAGGAAAAAATTTATGTTAACAATTTATGTTAAGATCCTTCAATGCAACGATCTTTATTTCATTGCGATAGCTTTTATAGCTTTTACGTTACATGAAATCAAACAGCTTTATTCCTATTTAGTTATTCCAAAGCATCTTTATTCCTATTTAGTTTCGTACCACAAGATGTGGCACTTATCAGCCTAAATTAGCCTAAAGCATGATCTATTGGCACTTAAAGAATTGCATAAAATCCAACAATTACTACATTCAAAACTATTTCTGATATTATTTTTATTTACGATTGACGAAATATTTACGTTCCTAAATATTTAGAAACAGAATCAAGTGAACAAAATGACAAGGGAACAGAAGAGACGGTGGGAAAAGATGGCGGGTCATCGCCTGAAGATAGCGGCAGTGGGAAAATAGAAGATAATGCAGGAGAAGATGAAGCTGGAAGTGGAAACACAACGGCTAGTTCAAGACAGGATGAGACAGGAACAGACGAACAGAAGGAACAGGATGAGAATACAAAAGAAGAGGAAAGTGGGAGTGAAGAACCAACGGAAGAGATCGCTGTTGAAAGAACAGCACTTGATGAAACTAGAAACGAAAATGGAACAGTAAGTGATAGTGAAGACGAAAACGAAGAGACGAAGGAACATGATGAGAACACAAAAGATACTGAAGACAGCGAACAACCAACGGAAGAACTCAGCGATGAAGAGACATTCCTTAATAAAACATTGCTTGATGAAACAAGAAATGAAAATGCAACATTAAGTGGTAATGAAGACGAAAAAAAAGAGGAGACGAAGGAACAAAATGAGAATACAAAGGATGATGAGGACAGTGACAGCGAAGAGCCGACGGAAGAAATCAGCGATGAAGAAACAACACTAAATAAAACATCAGTTGGCAAAACTAGAAACGAAAATGGAACATCAAGTGATAGTAAGGACGACAAAGACGAGACGAAGAAACAAAATGAAGACGATGAAGAAAGCGGGAGTGAACAGCCAACGGAAGAAATGAGGGATGAAGAAACATCGTTTAATAAAACATCATTTGATGAAATAAGAAACGAAAATGGAACATTAAGTGATAGCGAAGACGAACAAGATGAAACGAAGGTACAAGATGAGAATAGAAAGGATGATGAGGACAGTGACGAACCAACGAAGGAAATCAACGTTGAAGAAACATCGCTTAATACAACATCACTTGATGAAACTGGAAGCGGAAATGCAACAATAAGTGATAGTGAAGTCAAGAAAGAAGAGACGATGGAACAAGATGAAGATGATAAAGAAAGCGGGAGTGAACAGCCAACGGAAATGAGGGATGAAGAAACATCGTTTAATAAAACATCATTTGATGAAACAAGAAACGAAAATGGAACATTAAGTGATAGTGAAGACGAAGACGAGCCAACTCCAGTTGGTCAAGGTAAAAACACAACATTAACAGATAGACGACATGAAAAGGAAGCGAAAGAAAGAAAGGGGAAAAGTGGCAGTAAGAAGGTTGGGAGTGAAAGCACGGATGATACAAATTCGACTGAAGAGATGCATCATGAGGGGACATCACTTGATAGAAGCAGAAATGAAAATGCAACGATAATCACCAGTCAGCAAGAAAAGAAAACATCAGCACGTAAGTCACTGGAAAGTAAAAAAGATGATGGGTCAGGTGAAGATGATAAACTTTCCAAGAAAGGAAAGCAGAAGAATGAGAAACAGAAAGAGGACGGGAGTGAGGAAGATTCAGAGGATGGAGAGGAAGACGAAGGCAAACAAGATGAGGTTAAAAAAGGGAGCAAAAAGGCGAAGAAGAAAGGCAAGAGCGATGATGATGATGAAGATGGTGATGAAAGTGAAGATAAAAAAGGGAGCAAAAGGGACAAGGATAAAACGCAGGATGATGATGAAGATGGCGAAGGTGGAGATGACAAAGGCAAAAAAGGGAGCAAAAAGGCGAAGAAGAAAAGCAAGAGTGATGATGGTGATGATGATGATGATGATGATGAAAGTGAAGATAAAAAAGGGAGCAAAAGGGACAAGGATAAAACGCAGGATGATGATGACGATGGCGAAGATGGAGATGACAAAGGCAAAAAATGGAGAAAAAAGGCGAAGAAGAAAAGCAAGAGTGATGATGGTGATGATGATAATGATGATGAAGATGATGATGAAGGTGAGGATAAAGGGAGCAAAAGGGACAAGGATAAAACGCAGGATGATGATGAAGATGGCGAAGGTGGAGATGACAAAGGCAAAAAAGAGAGCAAAAAGGCGAAGAAGAAAAGCAAGAGTGATGATGGTGATGATGATGATGATGATGATGATGATGAAGGTGAGGATAAAAAAGGGAGCAAAAGGGACAAGGATAAAACGCAGGATGATCATGAAGATGGCGAAGGTGGAGATGACAAAGGCAAAAAATGGAGCAAAAAAGCGAAGAAGAAAGGCAAGAGCGACAAGGACGATGATGGTGAAGATGGAGATGACGAGAAAACGCCTGTAGGATCCGGTAAAGAAGATGATAATGACAAAGATTCAAAGAGTGACAAAAACGGGAAAGGAAAGAAAGGCAAGAAAGACGACGATGAAGACGACAAGGGTGAGGGTAAAGGCAAAGATAAAAAAGATAAGAAGAACAAGGATGATGAAGAAGGATCCGGTAAAAAAAACAAAAATAAGAAGAAAAAGAAATCCAAAAATAAGAAGGAAGGCTCGGGTGATGATGGAAAAGATCTTGATGAAAGGGAGGATAAGAAGAACAAGGATGATAAAGAAGGATCAGGGGAAGAACCCAAAAATAAGAAGAAAAAGAAATCCAAAAATAAGAAGGAAGGCTCGGGTGATGATGAAAAGGAGGATAAGAAGAACAAGGATGATAAAGAAGGATCAGGGAAAGAACCCAAAAATAAGAAGAAACCGAAATCGAAAAATAAGAAAGATAAGGACGGTTCGGGTGATGACGATAAAGATCTTGATAAAAAGAAGAACAAGAATGATAAAGAATCCGGTAAGGAACCCAAAGATCAGAAGAAACCGAAACCTGATGATAAGAAGGACGGTTCGGGGGATGATGGAAAATATCTTGATGAAAAGAAAGATAAGAAGGACAAGGATGATAAAGAAGGATCTGGAAAAGAACCCAAAAATAAGAGACCGAAATCGAAGGAAGGTTCGGGTGATGATTCAGGTGATGGTTCGGGTGATAAAGATTGTGGCAGTGCGCGAGAAGGATCCGGGCAAAAAGATGAGAAGAAGGAATGTTCAGGTAATGATACACAACCAACAGAGACGACGGCAACAGAAAAGAAGCCAACAGATGAGGATACAAGTGATGATGATGAAGACGAGGGTGCAACGGATTATATGATGGATGAGAAACAAAAGAATGGTAATAAAAATTTCGAATTTCTATACAGCATAACATATCAGTGTTGTTATCAAATAATTATACAAGTTAAATACTATTAAGCTAAATGCATGCGATTAAAACTTTCATCTAAAAATTGTCTGAATAAAATCCTAGACTCAAGTTTTTCAGCTGATAATATAGAAGTTCATTTTGCTGCCATGAAATTATAACTCTTACGTACAAACTCTGTCCTATTGATGGAATGTGTAAACCTACACAATGTGACAGTGTTATGATTTTTCATGTGGTTCTTTAGTGTAATTGCTATGATAACTTAACGTATAACTTCTTATTGCTCTAATGTTCCGTTTTAGAGAAGGCAAAAGAGAATTTGCTGGAAAAGGGAAAAACGATTGATGCGAAGAATAAAACACAAATACAGGTCTGTCTTACGCTGACGGCTCAGAGCATTTTTTGTCACTTTACTAACACTGTTATCGTGAATATCACTAGCATCATCGCCACGTGGTTGTGGTGTTGAACTCAAGTGTTTATGCTGATATCACTCTGAGTGTCTCCACACCGAGCAAGCTGAAAAGTAGCTTGACCAAAGTGGGAACCGAACCCGCGACCTTTGCCGAACCATCGATCGCCATGTTTTCGCCGCGCAAGCAAAATTATTATGTAATTATATTTATTGTTATTTTATTGTCTTTCTCTGGAATAATCTCTCTCCCACCATTCGTAATAGTTCATCGGTTTCCTCCTTTAAAAACAGACTAACTGTTCATTACTCTTCTCTACTTCATTCATCTTTCGATGTAAACAGAATGCGCACTTGGAAAACCTTCTGTTCTAAGTGCCGCTCTTTCAACTTAAGCTGTTGTTCGTAATTCGTCATGTTTTCTGTAAATTTTATATTTGTTATCGTCTTTGATTTATGTTTGTTATAGTTTGTTTTCATTAAGGTTGGTCTTCATATGGGGCTATTCATGTCCTGTTGACCATACCTTCAACCATATTATGTAGTTTTTTAGTCTATTTTATGTATGGTTGTAAAGTTAATAAATAAATAAATAAATAAATAAATAAAATCAAAAACTAAGATAATGCTTCCACTTTGAAATGTAAAATTTCCATTAAATTTCGACTTCTCACGAACTTGCCGAAGCTGGAAATTTTCTGTCGGAGCCGGAGTTTTTCAGTTCCCGGAGCCGGAGTTCCTTTGGCCGGAGGTGAAAACCCAGAGTTTGCACAGCACTAGTACTAGTTACACCAGTAAGAATCGTACCTGCTAACTATTGTACTGTAATAATTTCGAAATAATCTTCATTTCTTACCTCATTTCATTTCGTCTTGTTTACAGACTGTCTTGGCATCATTCAAGGAAATTCTTTCTGGCGATAAATCTGATGCATCGGAACCTAGCAAGGTAATATAAAATTGAAATACAAATATATAAAAAGCTTAACCACAATGATGAAAAAAATCTTGTCGAGCATTGTGTTATCAGGGTCGTAACTACTGGGTGGGGTGGATGGGGGTGTAACACTCCCAAAGAAAAGTCAAGGAAAAGGGCCCAATTTCCCCAGAGGGGGCCCAAAATGCTGGAATTGCGGAACGTGTTAAATAATACGGAAAATTGTGAAAAAATCTAACATAATTTACATACTGGGTAGCTCTACATGACCCTGGTTTTGCTTATCTTTTTAAGTTGGAAGATGATATATTGGCAGTGAAGTTAATCGAAAATGTTGGCAAGACAATTGCATCTCAATTGAAACCAACACCACGAAAGCCTGCAAGCGTAGGGCAGATTAACGACGATCAAGGTAAAATATATATGGATAAATTTCCAACATGGGGTGGAGTATAACCCACGTTTAAGATATCTTTTTCAGGTAGTCCAGACACAAACCACGACAGCTTATTGTAGAATACTACCTACACTGGACTACCGCGTTTGAGATATATATTTTTAGGTAGTTCAGCCACAAACCACAACAGCTTGTTGCAGAATACTATCTACACTGGACCACCACGTTTGAGATATCTTTTCCAGGTAGTTCAGACACAAACCACAACAGCTTATTGTAGAATACTACCTACACTGGAACCCCACGTTTGAGATATATTGTCCATGTAGTTCAGACACAAATCACGACAGCGTATTGTAGAATACTACCTGCATTGGACAACCACGTTTGAGATATCTTTTCAGATAGTTCAGACACAAAGCACGACCGCTTATTGCAAAATACATGAAGACGCCTTCGAACTAATAACTAAAATTAATATTTTTTCTTAGTGTTTGGTGTGGTCGCGATGAATGGCCAGAATAAGTCCGAATTTAGCTTCCCAGATATGATAGAGGGTTTCATGAATGTTTCGTCATTTCCCGCCAGGATACAACTACCATCAGCTGTACTGAACAGTAACACAAGTAAGGAGATAATACAGGGAATGTTGATTGTCTCCGCAAGGAGGTTTTGGTGTCGTCTGCGTTTGTATGTCCGCATATGTTTTTGCTCTCTGTTTTAACTTCAATCTGGTTTACAGTTTACACCATCAAAGTCTCTGTGATATCGAGTATGCATGGCCAACATCTTGACAATTACCCAATCAAGCATATATAGTTCTTCAAAACTAATCCATATGACATGAACAACTTGTTATTCTCTAGGTGGTAATCTAAGTTTGGTGTTCATGATCTACACGGCATCGTCACAAATGAAGTCGCAAACAGGAGATGAAAGTTTTAGTGTTACTGGGAAAGTTGTGCTTGTGTCAATCTTTCCAAAACCGAAGTCCCCATTTCAAAAACCCGTGGTGATTACTATTCAAAATCTGCACATGGTAAGAATGATCGCAATCAATCAATTAACTAATCAATAGATGGATCGATAAACCGATCACCGAAATATATACAATCAGGTATCAAATAATCAGTCAATAAGTTAATGCATTTACATTCCTTTCAAAAGGTTTCAGTACAGAATTCCTCCTTAAAACAAGTTTGTGTGTTCTTAATGGAAAACTCTTCCACGTAAGTGAAAATGTGTCGATAATTTATCATTGTAGAAAACCCCTAGGGCCGGTTATTCAAAGCTGGACTAGCACTTAACCCTCGGTTAGAATTTAACCTGCTGTTTCACTTGATGCATGTATTTCTACACGTCTGTTTATTTCAAAACTTCAGAGAAGAAAACTCCTACTGATCCAGATAAGATCTCTGAAGAAATATTTCCAAATTTATAAACAACTTGTTACGAAGTTTGCTTTGAATTTTAGATTAACCTAGGGTTATAAGCTAATGGGCTTTCAAACACCCAATTCACCTCCCTTTAACCCATTTCCACTCAAGAAAAATTTCCACGGACAGAAAAATGTTCCGGAAAATTTGTGTCGTTCAATCAATTTCCTGAGTGGAAATGGACCTTTATTTGTGAGGTCATATGACATTTCTCTATTTCAATCTTTGTAGTCAAAACACAAGTCGATTTGGTGTCTGGTCAAAGCAAGGATGTGAATTAGCTTACAGGAACAGCTCTCATTCAGTATGCCATTGCTATCATTTGACAAACTTTGCCATACTAACGCGATTCTCAGCACGAAAGGTGAGAAAAACTAAACTTTAAAAGTACTGGATAAACTAGGAAACATTGTTGTGGAAACATTTGTGATTCTTGATGTTTCCCCAAATGTTTCCCTGTTTGCCCACCCGTGGAAACATTGTTGCGGAAACAAAATTTGCCTCCCGAGAAGCAAAAATCTTTCCTATAGCAAATCAGAAACATTTGATGTTTCCCTATGTTTCTCACTAATGTTTCCTAGTGTTTGCCCACTCTGGTAAACATGGCGAAACATGGGCAGGAAACAATGTTTCCGCAACAATGTTTCCTAGTTTGCCCAGGGCTTATTTAGAGCGACCCTTGTTGGTTGAAATTATTATTAAACCTTATATATTTTATTGGCAGATCCCAAGGAAACATGAATTACCTCTGAGTATAGTAACATACATCGGTCTATCGTTGTCAATCTTTGGATGCTTGGCTACATTAATCGTACATCTCATGCTTCCGTGAGTAATGATAAAATTTTCACAGTATGGTAAAACATTTTATAATTTCGTACAGTCTGTGCTAGTGTAGGTAGCGACGATACGGAGTTTAAGATGCCGACAACGAACAACGGGTACGGAGAACGGTTGAAAGCTTGTTTTCGTATTGCTTTAACAGAGGCAGACAAAATTTACATATCCCCAGAGCATACTTTTCACCGTATAACGGCCTTGGCTACAACGTAAAAATCACATTCTTGTGTTGTAAAACTGAATCAAGAACATAGCAACGAAACTGACTACGCAACGTTGCAGGTTGGAGAGTATTTTTATAAAGAAAAGATGAAAATTAAAAGATGAAACACAAAGCCAGCACACATAAAACGTATTTGGGATAAATTTATTATGATAAGCATTTAGTATTTGCATACTTATAACAAAAACTATTTCAAACGTAGTCGGAGTCCGTCGTCAAGATCTTAAACTCCCTAATAACAAGAAAGATACAACTACGGACTACCTTGTATCTTGCAATATACAGCTGTCTAAAAATCATATCTACGTTGTGTTTTACACTCTGCATTTGTTTTTTCTTCATGTCTTGCAGGAAACTTTGGACGGACAGGGCTTTCATTCACATGAACTTAGTGACTGCTTTGGGTGTTGCAAATTTCGTTTTTCTCTTTCAAAAAGTGCCCGATGTGGGTTCGGTAAGTGTTGGTTTATTGGAGGGAAGGAAAGGAATGAAGAAAGGAAAGAAGGAAGTAATGTAATTGGAAAAGGAGGGAAGGAAAGGAAAGAAAGAAAAGAAGGAAGGAATGTAATTGGAAAAGGAGGGAAGGGAAGGAAAGAAAGAAAAGAAGGAAGGAAATAATGTAATTGGAAAAGGAGGAAAGGAAGGAAGGAATGTAATTGGAAAAGGAGGGAAGGAAAGGAATGGAAGGAAAGATGGACGACAGGGGAAAAGGGAGGAGGAGGTGAGAAGAGGAAAAGCAGGACAGAAATAAGAAAGAAAAAAAAGGAAGTAAAAAGGAAGTAAAAAGCAAGAATAAAGCAAGAAGGGGGGATTAGTTGGAAAAAGAAAGGGAAAGAACAGGAAAGCACGAATTATCAAAATAAGAAGAAATAAAGATTATTTCCAAGTCATTCGAAACTGTTAGTGAATTTTAACGGAAACATATCGTCATTCGAAAGTGTTATAGTTATTTTTATCTCTTGTCTTCTATCTCTTCTAGGCTGGTTGTAAAACACTGGCAGTGGTCCTGCTCTACTTCTACTTGGCTGCTTTTTCCTGGATGATGTTGGAAGGCATTCACATTTATCGAAAGCTTGTTCAAGTGTTTGAATCAGGAAAAGATCCCAGGAAATCTTACTTTGTGGCTGGTTGGGGTAAGATTAAAAATAGACTCACTGGAAAAAAATAGTGAAATTCATACGCGATTTCCACTAAATCCATGGTATACCCATACTGGTAGAAGCGTAACCAGGATTATTCATGTTAATAGTTTAGACGTTCTCTGGTTTTTAAAGATTTATTAAACGAGCTTTCGACTGCCAGTCTGCAGTCTTCGACGGGCAAGTGATAATGAGCATATGTAATGAGTTACATGGAAAAAACACTGGTTTACAATTACATACACAAACAATTAAACAGTTCCGCCTACATGATAAATATGATAATTATGACAAGAAGAATAGATTAAACTGTTCAAGATTTTATTATATAGAAGAAACCGGTATTGTTCAGACAAATGTTTCGAGTTATTATCAGCATTAGTTGTAATAGCAGTGCAAACTTTCAAGGGTTGATCTATGCATGACGGTAGTTTCCTTTGTAGACTGCGAGCGGTCCCTCCTTTCCGCGAGCTTTGTCGATATAATTTTACTGTTTCCAAAATCTACCTTATGGTCATTTGTCCAAGGCTCCAAGCATGTTTAGCGATGTTAGACCCGTCCTTAAATGGCTTAACATTTCTTACATGTTCCTTCTGACATATTCCTCGAAAGCTCGTTTAATAAATCTTTACAAACCAGAGAACGTCTAAACTATTAATATACTGTATATCCATATTATTTCCATGCTATATCCATAGTATAAAAATTGCAATTTGGATTTCCATACTATTTTCAACTATAAGATCAATGCTATTTCCATAGTAGGATTTTGAAAAAAATTTGCAGTGCATGATACTGTTCTATTGCGCAGAGTAAATATTTCAAGCATTAGGTCCGGTATATAGTTTGAATTTTTGGTTGCTTATCAAAGTGCCCACAGTAATTGGCATATGCTGTTGTGGTGACCCTGCCCTAGTTGGCAAAGCTAAATAAATTAAATTAAATTAAAGTATCTCAGTAGGCTTAAATATACACTCTGAAAGATGCTATAATCCTCACTTTTCATACTTTTCAGGACTTCCCATGCTACTGGTTATGACAACTATAGCAATATTTAGAGACGATGTTACTTCTGAATATTAGTAAGTATTTTCACACATTTTCTCGATTTATGAACAGATCGGAAGAGCACACGTCATCGGAAGAGCACACGTCT